TCCATTCATGAATCATCAAAAGTAGAAGAGGTTGGAAGTATTAGAAGGATTTTTTGGGACTGGGCTCAGATTCTAAGAGGGGACTAATCCCTGATTCGCTCTTTCCAAGGAGAATCAAGAGTAAAAACTCACAAGCACATACAGCTGATAGAGGTCTATTCAGAGAGGAGTCCTTGGGGTTATGTTAGAAGAGCATATAAACTTCTTATTATCATCCTGTCCTGAACCATCAGAAATGGGGAAAGATCAATAGATATTTTCAGTGCTGCTGATCAATATTTAGTTCATTATGGTTACCTGTGATTGTAACAAGTATATTCACTGGTGTGAGACATTTTATTGACTTGAAAAGAATTTAACAAATGTACTTGGTCCACTGATGAGCTCACACAGCAATAAATAATGCAGTCCAGTAGGCTGCAAGCCTGGGTAGTAACCCAGAGAAGGGTTATCTTCATCTGTGTTCAGACCGAGACTTGCCTCTGCCTTTTTGCCACTGGTAATGGAAAAAAACAACAAAACAAAACAAAACAAAACAAAACAACCAGTAACAGCTGAGCTTAGCATGTGTTCACTCCATTTTCATTAACATATTTTTAAAAAATCTTGTTTGCTCCCCTGACTGTATAGAAATTGTTCATGGAACAAGGCTGCAGTAGTTAGGATTTAGTGTTTGCCAAGTCAAAATCTATCTCCTGCTTTTCTCTTAAGAGCTGCATGACTTTTGACAAATTACTTGACCTTCCCAATTTTCAAATTCAGTGCCATGGAGATAATAGCAAGTCACTGGGTTGTTGTGGGGAGTAAAGCAGTAGGTACACATGCGAAGCATTTTAGCACACCAGCCTGGCACACATTGAACTAGAATTCTATGAATGTCAACTCCTTTTTGCAGCAGAACATGCTTTTCTTTCTGCTGTTCCAGGGTTGGCGCAAAAATGGGGGTGGAGAGGAGGCAGAAAAGTCCCATAAGGATCCAGAGGAGGGGACTGGACTAGAATAGGAAACATGAGAAACACAGGAGACAAGGGGCTTGACACACTTTGAGCCGAAAGAGGAGTCGAGTTCTGTATCCTTTTCTGGGCTCTGTGTATATGTTAAAACTTTTTTCGCACTGAAAATGAACTGTATCCCCATGCCCTGTGAGGTAACAGGGGGCAACGAATGACTTTCCTTATGACTGTGAATGGATGGGGCACCTCCCGTGACAGAACTCCAGGTTAATGGTGCTCAAAGGGTAGTCTAGATACATCTACCACGGTGAATGCTGAGTCACCATATATAATTGCTGAGTTAACATATTGTACACCTGAAACTAACAAAACACTGTAGATTAACTATACTTCAATTAAAAAAGTAGGTAGTGGGGCGCCTGGGTGGCTCGGTCGGTTGAGCATCCAGCCCTTGATTTCGGCTCAGGTCATGATTCCAGGGTTGTAGGCTTGAGTCCTGCATCCAGCTCCACGCTGAGCATGGAGTTTGCTTGGGATTTTCTCTCTCCCCACGCCCCCTTCCACTCTCACTGTCTCTCTCTAAGGTAATTTTTTAAAAGGGTAGTTAAGAAGCTCTGTTCCTGGAATGTAGATCAAGGTAAGTACAGAAAGTTATGAGTCTGCGTTTAGAAGCTGTGATTGCAACTTGACAGAGTAGTTTTTTTTTTTTTTTAATGTTTATTTATTTTGAGAGAGAGAGAGAGAGAGAGAGAGAGAGAGAGAGTGAGCAGGGGAGGAGAGGGAGAGAATCCCAAGCAGGCTCTGAGCGAACAGCTCAGATCTTAACCAACCATGATATCATGACCTGAGCTGAAATCAAGAGTCAGATGCTTAACTGAGCCACCCAGGTGCCCTGCAACTTGACAGAATCGTTTTGTCTGATGAATGTAATAATGAGCAGGAGGAATGTGTATTTTTGGGTCTATTTTTTTCCACATCTCTAGGAATTCATTTTTTCAATTAACTTTTTTCCTTAGTAATTCATTTTTATTTTCCTTCACAAGACTATAGGCCCACAATAGTTCAAAATTTTAAAAACTTGACTTTCACAACTGGTCCTTTGAAAATAACTACTCTAGAAAATAATCCAAATTTTTCTACAGTCCTGACAATAGTCATTATTCCACTTCTGAATGCTCTTAAGGACTAACATTTGAAGGAACTCTTTAGTCTGAACCTTTGTTCCTAAGAACAGGCCAAACTTAATAGTTTGAGACAATTCTGGAATCTTTATTGCTTATAACATTAAGCTTTTATGAGTACAAGAAAGATTTTGAAGAATTTTCTGAAATATAGGAAAAAAATATAAACAGCAAAGAAGGTGAGGCAATTTAAAAAATCCACCTTGTAAAATATACATTTTTATGAGGTAGATCAAAATATATACTGATACAGAGAAGCCCAAGGTATGTTCAGGGAAGAAACAAGTTGTAAACTGTACTTGTAATATGATGCTGTATTAAAAAAAAATTACTATATACATAGAAGAAAACCTGAACTAATATAAATTAACCAGTCTGAAAAAAAAATCAGTTCTTACATCTGAAATGTTAGGCTCCCAGGGGCGATTATGTTCTCATGTTATATATTTGCTTTGTGTTTGAACTTCAAATTTTTATCATGACTATATGATACACTGTAATATGAAGCAGATCGATGTGTGATGTTGAACAATTTGCCTCTGTCATGTTTTGGTTATTAATAAATATACCAAAAATGCAGTTGAGAGAGATTTTCCTAAAAAGATAGCGGGTAAAAAAAAATCATACAGCAAGCCCCCGGTGCTTCTATTTCTTTACCTTCTTTAAATATTTGGGGGCCAAGTTCCACGCGTTCTTTCCAGGCCCACTTGCAGTTCTGAGCATTCCATTTCTTGAACAGAAGGCTATTTCCATTTAAGATACTTGCACGGAAGTATTAAGGTCTTCCTACGTTTCATTTCCCATTCCCTTCTCCCCATTGTGCAGGACAAATACATGCCAGATGAAACATTTTCCTGAATTTAAAAGACCAGTTTGCGACTCCGCAAAACTAGGATGAAGGGCTTGTTACAAACAACATTCGCAAGATCGGGAAGCCTAAAAATTCACATCTGTCATCCTCAGCGAGGCAATAAACTACCGTATTTCATCAGTTCTAAGACAACTTTATTGTGAGACACAGCATCATTTTATGTAGCGCTAAGAAAGAAAAAAACACTGCCAATTCCTTTAGAGCATGCCATCAGTCAAAAGATGCATCCTGATTTCAAGGATGTAAATGTGAAAAGATGGGCACCTTGGCGTCAGTAAAATACGGTAATACTACAACTAAAAATCTGCAATCTTGTCCAAGAGGATTACATGAAGTAGAACACTTCAAACTGCTTTGGATGAACCCTGAATATAATGGAAGAATACGTAAACATTTTCAGTAGCACACCTTCAGTTTATTGACCTATGTAAAAAAATAATAGGTCTTAAAAAGTCAGAACAGTAAAAGAATATGCAAAAGTATTTCTGTTTCTAGAAGGCTATACAAATATGCAAAAAGGAATAAGTTATTATTTTTCTGCATGTCTTCTGTTTTGCTCCAAATTCGTTCCCCAAACTTCATTTTTAATGATACAAATGACTAAGGACCAGTTTAACAAATCATCTTTATGTATATATTACATGCTTTGGAATATAGATAGAAAATGTTCCAAAAAAGTTGTTCAGAAACTTCTCTCTTCACAATAGGAACATGAAACCTGTATAAAAGGGGGGTAGGGAGCACCTTTTATGGAATATTGAAGCAGAGTGAAGATGACAAAAAAGATCAATCTAGAATATGGAATTTTTTTTTTTAAAAACCCTACCATAAACCATAGCTAATTAGTTCTTCCAAGTGAAGTATGAGGTAGTTTTAGCCTCATAATTAAATCTGCAGCTTGGAGTTTTTTGTTTTTTTTTGTTTTTTGTTGTTTTTTGTTTTGTTTTGCTTTTGTTTTTTCCTTTTTAATGACTAATCTTGTTTTTGTCACTTGGTGACTTAGAACCCTCTGTGGGATCTGGACAATATGCTTACTTTCCTAATGTTCACCATTTTAAGGCACGCAATTCATCTAAAATGATGTGGCTTTTGTTTTGTTTTGGGTTCTTTGTGTTGTATTACCTTAAAATAGTTTTTCAAACTCTTGATTATAAAAACTCTCCATGTCAGGTCTGCCATTTCAAATGACAACCAAATTGGAGAGTTACCAGCCTGAATAATAACCCATCAGGCCACTGGTGTAGAAAGAAAAAAGGAGCCCAATAATATTGGACCTTAGAAAATTCTCCAAGCAGAGTTTGTCAATTATTCAGTGGGCTGCTGTGTTTTCCCCAATCTGCTACCATAAAGTTATATTACAGGATGCTCCGGCAGTAAGTCTTTCCGGAACCCATTTTATGGTGCTTATGAAAACCATCACTCTTTATAATATCCTAAAAACATTTACACTCATTCAGAACTTCATGAAAATCCAGCTTCTCTTCAAGTAATTTTCCAATACTGTCTCAATTGTTGACGTCCATGTAGAAATACCATGTCATTCTTCGCCGGCTCACAACTCCAAACTTTCTGATGGTGAGCAATGACTGGGGAGCTCCTCGTTGTTCTTCTTCTCATCATGCTGAACTGTGCTCTGAAATTTCCCAACCTTCCTTCCTATTGGAGACCCTGAACACACTTTTCACAGTTTTACGGTTTGCCTTCAACAACTTTTATTCCCTTAACAAGTGCTTGCTACTGATAAAGGCTGAGTCTGTCCTTGGCAATGGTTCCACCTTGCTGTTAGGTTAGTGCCCGGAGCTGGAAAGGCATGTGGTTCAGGGGCTTTTCCGTGGCCTTAGAGTGTGATTCACTTCCAGGGCAGCAAGAGTCCTCTCTTCAACCTTTGATGCTTTTAGCTTTCTAAAGCCAAATAGCTTTCTGGGAAGACGAACACATTTTGCAAGGCACACTAGTGTGAGAACGCGGTGCTTGGTCAAGAGGTCCAAGTGCAGTTCAGACTAATGTTCCAGGCTTTGAATCTTCATGCCAAAAGAGCCTCTGCTCTCTACTCTTCAGGCTTTCTTCCAACCGGTTTCCATCTGTACTGTCCAGTTGACTGATCTCTGTGTACTGTCTATTAAAGGAAACCAGAAAAGTTGTTACTTGTGGTCATTTTGATTCCCAGAGTACAAAGATTACTCAAAGAATTAGTAGAAAGCACCGTCAAGAAAATATCCAACACTTGGAAATAGGCAAAGCATGACTGTGTGCTGTCTCATTGTCCTACTGGAGCATTGTTGAAAAGGCCCATGCAAGGTGTACTTAATTCTCAGGGGAGATATTCCTTTGTCTCACTTTCATTTACCATTGATAAGGACCCAGATTGTGGTAAGTTACATGTTAATTTTTAGGGTTTTTGTCTGGGAGAAATACAAATAACTTCTGTCTAGTATAAAAAGATTATGGTTAAAATTTTATCGCCCTGTGAGCCATTAACTGTTTTTTTTTTTTTAATCTAATTTCGTAATCTTATTCCAGCATTTTATCTTTCAGTGTATTGAATTCAGTCTTTTGAATTGTCTCAGAAGCAACTTTACCGTTCTGTTAGTTCTCTCATTAATGGGTTAAGTAAATCTTTGACACAGGCCCATTTTCTCTTTGTGGGAGAGTCATATTTTTAACTTTTTAAAAAGTATTCCTGACAGCCACATTTTAAGTATTCTTCAAATTAAGAGACTATACTAGATCCTTTCCTCAGGGACAAAGGAATATATTTAGAGGCAGGGGCACCTAGGGACACATTTTACACCCGTAGGGTGTATTGGTCAAGAGTAAATTGGAAACAGCATCACATATAAAAATCACAGGCATGTTTGGAGGGTAGATCCAAATGAAGGCATCCTATTATACAAACCATTCCAATCAGCAAAACTTCATTCCTACAGTAGTAGTTTAGAATAGGTTAGATAGTTAGTAGGTTTCTTTTTATTTTAAATTTCTTTAGTAAAAAGGATTAAAAAGTCATTGGAAGAAGAGCTTTGGAAAGAAATGCTCCGTGAAAACAGGTATTTAGTGTTTTCATCTAATATAAACACAAAGTCAGATTTCCACAGCTTCACACATCGGTCAGTGAGCAAAACACCTGCTAAGCAAGAAGCAACACACAGATCTGAGGGGCTGTACTTACTACTGCTGGCTACACTTAGCAAAAGAGAATTTAAAACTGATCTCATTTCTGGAGACACAACCATTTTCCGGGACAGAAGCCCTCGGTTTTGCCTAGTTTAGGTAGAGTTAGATAAGGAAGAGAATGGGCAATGGAAAACCGGAAGTGAAAGAAAAACAGTTATTTGAAAACACAGTTTGTAGCACAGAGACAAGAATTGGACTGTATTATATACTAGGTAGGATAAGAGACTTCAACATTTGTGATGCTGGAAAGTTTATGCCACTGACAATTATATCAAATCAGACCTGGAAACAAACTCTTATTGGTAAAAATTTATAGCTTTCTGTAATATCAAGAGCCAGACACTCTGGGAGAAAGGATCTCTAAATAAAATATACTTCATTTATTTAAAAAAAAAATACTCAAATCTTTAACTTAAGGGCAGATCTAAAGTTTTTTATTTTTATCTTTATCTTGAAACCAAATTTCCCTCTTATTTAAAAAAATTATGTTTCCATCAAAAACACAATTTTACAGCAAATTCCTAAAATTTGGTGGATGGCTGTTATTATACTTGCCTTGGTAACAGGTCTAGTTAAATTGATCATTCTGGGGTGTAATAAAAAAATCCTTAGGGCACCTGGGTGGCTCAGTGGGTTAAGCATCTGACTTTGGCTCAGGTCATGATCTCACGGTTCATGAGTTGAAGCCATGCATCGAGCTCTCCTGTCAGCATGGAGCCTGCTTCGGATCCTCTGTCTCCCTCACTCTCTGACCCTCCCCCACTTGCGCAGAGCATGCGCTCACTCTCTCTCCTTCTCTCTCAAAAGTAAGAAATAAAAACATTTAAAAAAATCCTCAATAGGCAAACAGATGGAAATAAGCACACCTGTACCTCTGTTGCTGGGAGGGTAAACTGGCAAATCTTTCTGGAAAGCAAGGGCTTCAAAAAATACATTTTTCAAGTTAACCCATTAATTCTACTTATTGGAATGTATCCTACGGCAAAAATCTGGGATTGAGACAAATATTTTGTAGAAAGATGTTAACAGCAGCATTACAATGAATCATAATGAAAAAAAAAAATCTAAAAATTCAAAATACAGGAAATAAAGTATGGCATATTTATGAGGGGAATATCATGTTGCTCCCATGAAACAAGGCTTAAAGAGTTTTTAAAAGGGGCGCCTGGGTGGCGCAGTCGGTTAAGCGTCCGACTTCAGCCAGGTCATGATCTCGCGGTCCGTGAGTTCGAGCCCCGCGTCGGGCTCTGGGCTGATGGCTCAGAGCCTGGAGCCTGTTTCCGATTCTGTGTCTCCCTCTCTCTCTGCCCCTCCCCCGTTCATGCTCTGTCTCTCTCTGTCCCAAAAATAAATAAAACGTTGAAAAAAAAATTAAAAAAAAAAAGAGTTTTAAAAAATATGAGCACATGTGTATGTTGTGATATTAAGTAAAAAAACTGGGATTCATAGACAATGAAAGATGTACAATCGTACATAAGTTTATCATTACAACCACGTTAAAAACGGATACAGAAAAGTGGGGGAATGTGTCAAGATGCTAACAGAGACTACCTCTAGATGGTGGAATTATAAGTAAATTATTTCCTACTTATTTATCCCTTTATCATTTTCCTAAGTTTCCACAGCGAGCTCATATAATGCACACAATAGGGATCTTTAAATAGTTTCTCATTTCCTGTACGTCGCCGCCCCTCTGACGTCAGACTCCCGTGTCAAGCCATCTTGGGCTGGCTGAAATAGAAAGGCACATTTGGCAAAAACACATTTTCTCTAAAAATGTTTAGTACCTTCCCGGGTCCAGTGAAAGGGGTGTCAAGGATTTTAGAACCGTCTTACGTGCTGTTTTCTGTTGTGTCTAACTCAGTCAACAAAAAAGGAAAGTAAAAGTATATAAATAGGAAAACAATTTGCAAATGAACTATACAAAACGATGAGAACTGAATCGAAAACCTTCAGCTCCAATTTTGGGCCAAAGCCATTTTAGTTCTTGCTCCTAACTCATTTGCATTATTTACAAAACCCCAAGATATATGAAGTCCTCTGAGGTATATTTTCACTGACATTCTATTTTGAGCACACCCTTTGTTGAGTTGAGACAATTGGCCTAACAGTTCCAGCCAAGAAAAACTCTCATTGAGCATGGAGAAGAAAAAAAAGGCTTTGGGGGTTGAATAGCTCTAATTCGCTTATAACACTGAGTAATTTATTAAATTATGATTTCACTCATTTGTGGAATTTAAGAAACAAAACAGATGAACATAGGGGGAAGGGGGAAAAAAAGAGAGAGAGGGAAGCAAACCATAAGAGACTCTTAACTATAGAGAACAAACTGAGGGTTACTGGAGGAAAGGCGGGTGGGGGATGGGCTAGATAGGTGATGGATATTAAAGAGGGTGTTTGTTGTGATGAGCACTGGGTGTTGTAGGGAAGTGATGAATCACTAAATTGGACACCTGAAACCAATTTTACCATATATATTAACTAACTAGAATTTAAATAAAAATTGAAATTAAAAAAAAGGAAAGCAAGAAACTAAACTCTTAAAATCAACAGGATAGACACTTTTATAAGTTATTATCTGTGTAAGTCTCCCTATGCCTGAAGCAATTTGGCCTCAAGCAAATTTAAATAAAAACAAACAGAAAATGCTCATTTCTTGGCACCATGGGCTTGAATTATATTCTGTGAAAAGTGACAGGGAGATGTGACCTCTTCAAACTTAACTCATCCTGCATATCCCAAGAAGTGAAAAACGTGTAATGCAGAGTTTGCAATCTTTTTTAAAACTGCATTTTAACAAATTGTTCTTGTACATTTCCTCCAAATGTTTACAAAGAACCATGATTATAAATAGAACAGCTGGCTGTGTCTGTAGCTTCTTAATGAACACAGGGTCAGACACAAAAAGGCAGCAAATGTTTGAAATCAAGCCTACCAACTGTCTATGAGGAATTTTGGTGTGAGCAACTTTTTCTGGGGTAGAGATATCTTTCCTACAAGGTTTCAGAAGAGTCTTAAATGTATATTATCTATACTATGGTTTTAAGCACTTCGATTTAAAAAAAACCCTTCAGACACAGATTTTAGTGTACACATGTCTAGGAATAGAGTCAAATTTGAATGATCTAGATTAGGAGTGAACAAACCTTTTGTTTAAAAGCCTGATACACAAAAACAACCAGAGATATGGGGCTCCTGGGTGGCTCAGTTGGTTCTGCATTTGACTTCGGCTCACGTCATGATCTCACAGTTTGTGAGTTTGAGCCCTGCACTGGGCTCTGTGCTGATGGCTCAGAGCTTGGAGCCTGTTTCAGATTCTGTGTCTTCCTCTCTCTTTGCCCCTCCCCTGCTCATGCTGTCTCTTTCTCTTCCAAAAATAATCATTAAAAAAAAAAAAAAACAACAGACATAGACAATATGTACATGAATGAACATGGCCATTTTCTAATAAAACTTAATTTACAAAAACAGGTGGCAGCTGGTTTGGGCCTATAGGCTATGGTCTTATGATCCTTGAGCATTCATAAAATAACATAGAATTCCTGAATTCTTTTGACCAGGGATAGGCTAGTAGAATTTTGAAGCATTGCTTTCTCACCTGCTTGGAGAGGGCAAAGGATTATAGATGTTGCCATAGCAGCTGGTGTAGGAAGAATGTGCCGGGGTCTCGTATTCAGATAGCCCTACAGCTATCTGGGTCCTCCAGTTCCCAGAAGCATTTGTAGAAGATACTGGAAATAAAAATGAAAAGAGACAAAATTAGTGAGAATATTCAAAGTGAAGATTATTTAAGCCATTTAGATGTACATTATAATTATCTGTGTGCAGAGATTAAGAGACAATGGTTATAATCAACAGAGTTCTTTTCTATTCAAGTATAGTCACTTACTGGCCATATGACCTTGGACAAATAGTTTATTCTCATTAAGCCTTAGTTTCTTCGCCTGTAAAGTGGGGATGATAATACAAATACATCCTGTATAGGGATGGTATCATGATTAAATAAGGTCATATATGAGAATATTTAACACTTTGCCTGGTACAGAGTAAGCACCCCAAAATGGTAACTATTGATATCATTACGAACGAGAATAAAGTTAATTGAAAGGCATGCTATAAAAAATAACCTAAAAGGCAGGTAGAAAAAAAATTCTCATATATGAAGAGAGTCTTTCCACTTGGGCTATGGTGGCTAGATATATAGAAGGCTTTATTTGTAAAGATAAGGCAACGAGTTTGAGTCTCTTGGAGGCCTTTGGTGGAAAAGCACTCCATAAATTGACCTGTTGGGATAAGACTGTTCCTCGGCCCAAGGCAACATCAGCCACTAGCAGAATCGATGCATACTTTTTGCTTAAAAAAAAAAAGTGTGTGTGTGTGTGTGTGTGTGTGTGTGTGGCAAGGGGTGGGGAGGCATTTCGGGAAGAAGAGAATTAGCTCTACTGAGGGACTGAACTGGAGCAAGACAAGGGCACAATGCAGGAACAAAGCCTAGTGAATGTGTCGCACTGGTGTTTGTTGTTCCCCCTCTAAAACCAGTCCTGCCGCATGCTGAGGACGCACAAGGTGCCCACAATGGCAGGCTGGTGGTCCAAGACCCATACTGCTCATGGATCCTTCCGGCTCCCCTCCATTTCGGTTCCTGGCAGCCACCCTCCGCCTCTTCTTTCTCACACCCACAAAACCCCTGTGACCAGTGTAGGACAGACGCATTTCAAAACTCATCTGTGGCCCTGGATGCCATGAGATTTTGACTCAAAGATGTAATTCTCTCACTTTGAGCTTCCACGAATGTTTCATAACTCTGAGTCAGGGGCTGGCGGGCTTGGTGGTGAAGGTGTCAGAGCCGTGGCAGAATTCCCATTCCAGCACTTACCAGCTTTGGGGCTCAGGCAGGGTCATTTGAACTCGCTAAGCTAGAACTGCCTCCATGGCAAGATTAGGATACTCATAATAAACAACAACAGCACTCACTGTACAGAAGTGTTGCATACATTAAATGGGATAGTGCACATAAAACAGTGAGCATGCTGTGTGGCCCAGGGTTAAGTTGCCAACAGACGATGGCTGTCATTTCTACTAAAACTGAGTCATCAACAGAGTCTTCAGCTGGCTGGGAGGAATTACCAAACCCCTAATTTGGCAAATAATAGGAAGCTCTCCATGATGCATGTGTGCATGTCTGTTGTAATACATTTTTGTAGCTATTAAATGTAGACAGGAATGAAGAAAACTCCAAAAGGGAATTCTAGGAGTTCTAATTTTATCCCTCTGATTCCTTACTACAGTGTAATGCTTTTTGGTCTGTGGGGCCGAATCCTGCTGCTACCAGGTAACCTCCTACTGGGTCTGAATCAGGAAACATTAACTCCGTTCTTACCTTTGCCTGAGACACTGAGCCAAGCACTAGTAACGCTGTGGTTTGGGAGGTGCACCTGCTTCTCTTTGGCCTACTTAAATAGGCATTACCCCAGCCCTGTGCCCCAATGGGCTTCTATATGCATCTCAGCCCTCCTTGTTTGGTTCTTTCTTTCTAACACTATCCCCGGGTTTGGTTTCTGAAAGAACCTCATGCAACGCCCTGAACTGTAGGGTGAAGAAAGGCACTGTATAGACGTGAGCCATAAATAACAAGGAATACATGACAGGACGCTTTTTGTATGTTAGATATGGTAATAAGTGGGAAAGCCCTAACGGAAGTCCAAAGTCCTACGCAAACAGAAGAGACATTAAACCCAAATAGAAATCTCCATGGAAATGCCTCTGGCCAACAAGCTTATGAAACTTTTAAAGACACAGTTTTCACAGATTTATTACTCAATGAGTTGGGAATCCCTGTGCTGTCTTACTAAGGGGTCCTGCTTGAAAGCAGGGGCAAGAATGCATGACCTCAGGTTTTCACACAGTCCAGGGCTGTAGAGCTTTAAAAGTGTTTTCTTTTTTTTTTTTTTTTTTTTTTTTTTTTTTTTTTTTTTTTAATTTTTTTTTTCAACGTTTATTTATTTTTGGGACAGAGAGAGACAGAGCATGAACGGGGGAGGGGCAGAGAGAGAGGGAGACACAGAATCGGAAACAGGCTCCAGGCTCCGAGCCGTCAGCCCAGAGCCTGACGCGGGGCTCGAACTCACGGACCGCGAGATCGTGACCTGGCTGAAGTCGGACGCTTAACCGACTGCGCCACCCAGGCGCCCAAAAGTGTTTTCTTTGTATACGTTCCTCTGGCTGCTAACTAGACTGGGTGCTCAAGGCTGGAAACCGTGTCAACGTTGTCTCCTCAGCATCTGCGATATGCCTGCTTGTTTGCTGAATAAACGAAACCATAGGCAGATACTCCTCTTTCTCTCCACTTCTCTACTGAGGGCAGCTCGCACAGCTGGGGGGCATGGGGGTAAGCAGAAAGTTCTTCACGGGTTTTAGTGGATGGAGGGGCCAAAGTCAATGCCTGAAGGGAATATCTCTAATCAAAATTATCTTGGAGAATCCCTTAAAGCAGCCATAAAGTAAAGTCTAAAGGATTACTGAATTGAGTCAAGGCATGCAAAGTACTTAGAACAGTGCCAGGAACAGTGTTTATTAAATGCTGGCTCCCCTCATAATTATTAGGAGCCTCACGTAGCTACCTGAACATTCAAACCAAACTGCCTTTAGATGATCAAGTTCCTGCTGGTGAACAGGGAAGGGTGTATAATCCTAATGTTTTCTGCTTACCCGCAGGGTTTACTCTGCTTTTGAATATATCAAACATCCGTGACCAGAACACTTTTATGAGATGTGGCTATCAAGGTAAGACCTAGAAAAGATACAATATTTGAAAGCCTCCAACACCGAGAGGCATAGAGTAAGTGCTCAATGAATATCTGCTGCATTTGAAGCTACAACTTGCTCCATCAGACTCCTGTGGGCTGTGTTTTTTGGAAAGCTAGAGAGACGAACTGTTTTTAAGTTGGCAATTCTTACTGTGGTGCCACAGAACGGCTACCCAGCTCATGACCTTGGGTACTGGTCCCATGATCCCTGAGGGGAGTGGTTTAGGGGGTGGGTGGGTGGCGGGCATGAGGGAAATTCAATCTGGGTATCAAGCGCCTCCGCCATATTCTTACCTGAAGAGTAGGAAGATGTTCGACTGCTGGGAGAGCAGGGTACTTGCAGCCCAGCAAACCCCAGGCATCTCTGCGATCCCCTGTCCGAGTCAAAGCTAGTCTGGGGGCTGTGCCCCTGATCCTTCTGTCCAGAGGCCCGCTGGTACCAGCCACGCAGGTGCTCGGCAACTAAGGCCTTGTGGATGTTTTTGGTGATGTGCTCTGACTTAGCTGCAGCCTTCCTGGGCAGCCGGAGAGTTGCATATGGGTTATGGGGTACCCGGTCGACCTCGTCTTCATGAAAGGACCTGCTATAGTCCCTTTGGCGCTCGTATCCATAGTGGACCGAGGACCGGTAGGAAGGATTGACACTGTACTGTCCCTCAGTGTCATTCTCATAGACATAGCCACCACTGTAATAAAGGTCACACTCTGCATATGGTGTGTACCCGGCAATATAGTAACTAGAAGAAGGTTGTTCCTGACTCTTTGTGTAGACGCCATTCCTCAAACTATCCTTTTGTGCTAGGTTGGGCATGCTTCCTGAATTTGAAGTCGAAACATTCTGTTTCTTAGACCTTCTCCGGCCCCTGGCACGAGTGTCCAGAGTCTGAGTAGTGTAATAGGGGCCAGCAACAGGCGTCACGCAGTAATACTCTGTGCTTGATTGGCTGGTGTAGGAAGACCCGTCATCCAGGATTTCTGTACTACTGCTTCTTTGGGATTTGGAGAGGGAGAAAAATGGCTTATCGTTGTCCATCTCAGACAGCAGGTGGGACTGAGACTCGAGGCTTCCACTCCGCTGGCGGCAGTGTTGGGAAGAAGATTCGGGTCTGCAAGAGGAGAAAGGCAAACTTGTAACAGAGAATCAGGGGAAGGAGGATGGAAATTAAAAACACAAAGACATGGTTGAAGGATTTAATCACCCCTTGAATTACTATAAAACTTTTAAGGTTTCCATGGGTGCCTGGGTGACTCAGTCAGCTGAGTGTCCAACTCTTGATTTCAGCTCAGGTCATGATCTCACAGTTGTGAGACCGAGCCCCGTGTCAGGGTCTGCCCTGGGGGTGGAACCTGCTTAAGATTCTCTCTCTCCTTCTCCCTCTCCCTCTGCCCCCCTTCTCAAAACAAACAAACGGAAACTTTTAAGGTTTCCAAAGCAGACTGCACAAGAGAATCCATTTGTTCACATAATCCATTGGTTCCCATGCAAGTTCACTGTCATGGTCCAAATGCGAAAAGAACCAGGTTCTATAAATTGTGCAATCCACAGCCTTACTCGAGGGTAGGGAAGATAAATTGATGATGTGCAACTTGTATCAAAGCCTAAAAAAAAAAAAAACAATGG